CAGGAAAAGATTGTCCTGCGGGCAGCGTATAATTTTTAACGACTACCCCCTTATAGGGCTTATACGGTACAGGGCGTTTGCTTTCACGAGAGCGGCCAAGTGACCCAGTGACACCACTGGGGAGACGTCCACTTTTTTCACAAACAGGCTGGTCCTCAGAATTTTCAGTTCATAATCGGCGTCATTTCTACACGAGACTAAAATCGCTTTTAGCCTTTACAAACTTTAAGCGTATATCCACATTGTTTAACAGCATTCGTTCGCTGAAAAAAATATCAGCGTGTATAGGGCCGATCAGTGAAAAATTCCTAGAGTTTCTACAGAACGCAGCTCGCTTCTGCAACCCCACGTTAGGGCCCTGGGGGGTGATGTCCAGGCTATCCAAGTCGGCTCTGACGTCTTTGTACCAGAGCCCTGCCGAAAACTGACTCTCTAGCGTATCTGTAGAAAAATTTAGCAGGGTCTCTATGAATGACCTATAGGGGTGCGTGGCCGATGAAGAACTGATCAGGACATCGTTCAGACTCACATGCAGCTGAGAGAATATACAGTTTAGGGGGTACTGTATAATACCGCAGGGGTCGGCATCAACCAGGGGGGCTCCATCCACCCTAACGATCCTGAGCCTTAGATATAGCAATGAAGAGTTCAGGTCCAAATAGAAATTGCCTGACCCCGGTATTAGGAAATCCAAAGCATCCTGATCGGTAATGGAATTTAATGGGTTGATTTCTACATAATTGGTCTTATCTATGGATAATTGCGTCATAGGGGCCGTAAACAGGTCCAGCTCAGATTTGGTGCATTCTGCGGAGCTAGAGCCATTCTTCCCTACAGCGTTTTCTCTCTCTCTCTCTCTTAAAATATGTCCCCGGGGGGTTTCCTGTTTCTCTTAGGAGGTCGAGACTTGGGAATCCTGACGGCTCTGCGAGGTTTTTTTTTTTTATGACCGGGCCTGTGTAAAGGTGCTGGGGCTCAACCTCCTCCTCCCCCTCTGAGAGAGCAGCAGCAGACCTGACCCTTCCTGCTTGGGGTCACCGTTTGTAAAACGACTGCTAACTACAGAACCGTCGAGATCTGAAGCTATTCCTTTGGCCACCGATTTCAAATGAGGCTTCGCTATATCAACCACACGCTTAAGAAAGGGTAAAACGAACCTAAAAGCCCTACTGAGCATGGAGCCCAACCCACGCCCGTACGTCACGGGGCTCCCCGCA